GACATAACATGACTAGTACTTTCCTCTAAATTCTTATACCTTCTACAGATGAACTGTGAAAAAAGCTTAGCTATATGTTCAAACTATGAGTTACATTCATTTTTTCAAATTTTAAACTTTATATTTTTTCAAATTTACAATTTTATTCACAGTAAAATATCTGAAAAATCCCAGGTGTGCAACTAGTTTGCCAAATAGTTTGTCAAGTGTACCCAACCCATGCTTTCACACTTCTAGATACAGGAAGCCACTGCCTCTAAAGCAGCACACCCTAACTCTGAGGGGCTCTAACCGCTCAGAAGCTGCCCCTTTGCTGAGCTGCGCCCTGTGCCTCTCCTCCACGGTCAGTTAAGAAGCACCTGTAACTGAGTACCAGGTGCTACATCAGGCAGAGGGGCCCAGAGAAAGATGAAAAGAGGTTCCTACCCTTGACGTGCTCAGCACCTCGGAGGGAGAGAGAAGATCAACTACAAAAATATTCTTAAGAGCATGATAAGGGTGTGAAAGACAAGGGCACCTGACAGAGATGAAAAAGAGGTGACACCAGGTCTAAGTTTTATGAGATAAACAAGAGTTACTGAAGTAAAGAATGGGGAAAGGATATTTCTAGCACAGCAAACAGCAGCACAGTAACAGAGCACAGAGCATTCAAGAAATAAAAAAAGACACCAAACAGTTAACTGGAGGGCGGGCAGAAAACGAGGGATGAGATCATGAAGGCTCCCTATGAAACAGAATTTTATTCTGGTGGCAACCGAGAGCCTTAGAGCAGCTTTGCAGGGGGTGCAGCAAGAAGTCAGTCCAGAGGCCAGGAGACCAGTTAGAAGGCTGCTGTTTTTCCATAATCGAGTTAAGAAACATGAAAGCCTAAGTTAAGGAGGAGGCATTAGATCTCAAGAGAGATAAGAAACTAATTTAAGGTATAGTCATGAGAGAGAATCATCTGGATCATCTGGACTTGGAAGGTGTAGGAGGCATCTAGGACCCCTCCTAGGCTTCTGGCCTTGACATGTAAATAAATGGTGATGGCCTCCAGCAAGTCAGGGAACTTCTGACTTCAAAGACCATCAGACCAGTAAGGGCAGCCCAGATGTACACTGAGGACGGTGTTTCACGCCTGCCACAGAAGCGGCTTAGAAATCACGCTCTACAAGATACTGTGAAGAATGTGGACGTGCAGTGGGGCTGTACCAAGGCTCCTCCTCACCCAGCATGCACCCAAGCCGACACTGCTTCCCATTCAAACACGTACATTCATCTGAGCCCCTTCTTCTACCTATTCTCCCCCACTCCAATTTCCTCCTCATCCACAGGTTTCTAAAACTCCTCAGGCACCCATAAGCAGTCAGATGCCTGAAACTCACTCCAAAAAAAAAAAAAAAAATTAGTGTATGTATATTTTTAAAAACAAAAGAATAAGAGGTTTAATTCTGTTCAATTCTAACTGCCACATCCCACATGCCTTTTTATTCCTAAATCACTACCCATACTCTTGCCCGGGAAATATTCTCATAGTACATATATACATCAGCAATCTTTTTTCCCAAGTGGGCCCCAAAACAATCACATCCTGTTCAAAGTCAGTAGTTCACTCAGAATAGAATCTCTACTATTTCATTAGATTTTTCACAACTCTAAAATATATGTACTATTGTTTTTATATTACAGATGGGAAAAATAACAACAGACTAACTATCAATTTTTTGGAGAATATAAAAAGCTTCTCTACTTGAAACAATGGATCTCAAGAGTTGTAAGGGAACCTAAAATTCAAGACCACCATTCCACAAATGTTTAAATTCCTTGTACAACACTCCCACCAAATGGTTACCCAGTACAGATCTGACCTCTTTCAGTGAGAGGAACAATCACAATGGCTAAAAGCGAAACCAAGTTTTAAACACAGGTGCAAAAACTAGTGTTTGAAAGGGTGTTGAGTTACAGAATTTTAATATATAATTTCAAATTGTGCACGTGTGTGTGCTAAGTCGCTTCAGACATGTCCGACTCTTTGCAACCCTATGGACTACTGCCCACCAAGCTCCTCTGTCCCAGGGATTCTCCAGGCAAGAACACTGGAGTGGGTTGCCATGCCCTCCTACAGGGGATCTTCCCAACCCAGGGATCGAATCTGCAACTCTTATGTCTCCTGCACTGGCAGATGAGTTTTGTTTTTTTTTTTTTTTTTTTACCACTGGCACCACCTGGGAGCCCTAATTTCAAATTGTTTCCCCACCATTACTTGTTCATTATAAAGGAGAGAACCTTCCAGTGGAGAAATCTGGTGAACTGAGTGATCACAGAAACATCCACAGCAGAAGGACAAGCTGACCCCACGTGCACAGTGGAGGATGGCACTGCTGCGGCGCTACCACCAAGGGGACACTCCTGAATCCAGGCATGAGGGAACCTCAGGCAATGCAAGCTCAGGAGCTAGTCCCCCGGCCTGTACGTTCCTAAAGGTCAAAGTCAAGAAACACAAAGAAAGGCCACAGGAGGGAGAAAAAAAAGCCACAAAAAACATGATTGTGACTAACTGGTGAAGTGTGAGTTCTGGAGACTAGACAACAGTCTTGTGTCAGTGTTCAGTTTCCTGGTTTTGACCGCTGTACTTTGGCTATATAAAGAATGCTCCTATCCTTAAAAAATATACACTGATGTACTTAGGGGTAAAAGGGCATGAAACATGCAATTCACCTGCACACAGTTCAAGAGGAAAAAAGTCTGTGTGCCTGAGAGTACGGAGAATGAGAAAATGAACCATAAAATAAATGGGGCAAACCAGTAACAATTTGTGAATCTGGGTGAAGGACAAATGAGAATTCTTTGCACTGTTTTTGTAATTTTCTGTCTGAAATTATATCAAAATTAAAGGCTCTCCCCCAAATAACGATAAGGTCACCCAAGTAATAATAAAGTCATACAGTACTGAAAAATGCATTAGGTTTGTCTCCTTGAAGAGTCCAGGTGCCTACTCATTGAAACTAACAGACCTCAGATTAAAATGTCTCAAGTAAACCTTTTCTGAGTTACCTATGCCATTTATGCTGGCACTTCAGCATATTCAAGTTACCATCTACTAAATGTTCTTAGATCACATGAATCTTCTCCCTCTGTTTTTGCAGATTTCATCCTAAAGAGATCTAACCACTCCTAAAAACACATCTCCTATTTGGATACCCCAAGGCAATAATGTTGGACTTGAGGTGTTCTAGACAGCAGGGCACATACACTTTACCCAGGATCCAAGCTAATTCAACTTTAATCAAAACATTCCTGCAGCTGTATTTTAATGCACATATGTCTATATGTGTATGTTTCTCTAATGTACGTGTGAGCATATATAAAAATGTGGATATATGCATATTTACATAATCATTTTTACTTACCTAATTGGCAAACAAATAGCCTTAAAATATTTAGCATTAAGCAGTGAACTAAGCACCTTATTCACTATGTAAGGAATGTTGGCTTATTGGTACCATCTTGGGAGAGGGATGGAGAAAGAATTTGGCAATAGCAATCAAAATTTTAATCATGAATGTTCTCTGACCCAGTCATTTCACCTCCTGATCACAATGTACTATTCAGAAATAAAGCCAAAAATACACAAAAATTTATGAACAAATTAAGATATTCTTAATATATACACACACACACCTATATACATACATACACATTCACACACATATTTTTTCTATGATTCTATATTCATTAATAATAATGCTAGAGACAGCAACAAAAGATGCCTACCAGTTGTTTTTACCATCCCTTTACCATAAAATTTTGCCTGCCAAATGAATGAAACTATTTGTAACAATGAAGGGAAATGTTACTAAAAATCCATATGTCAATGAAGCACATAACATAACCATACATCATACATCCATACAATATCATATTATAAAGCCATTAAAGAGACTGAGTTAAATCTGTAATTAGAAAAGTGGAAAGTTGCCAAGACATAGTATCAGGTAGGGAAAAAATAATGTACAACACATGTATCAGATAATCCCCTTTTTGTTTAAAAAGGAAAAAGAAGTATGGTTTCAAGTATACCAAATTATAAACAATGATTATTCTTCTTGGTTCAGATGTACAAAGTCTTAACAGTTCTTAAAACAATTCTGTAATAGTTGAATTTTCCCAATAACCATTATTATTTTCTAAGAAGATAAAAAGATTTATATTAGGGGTCAGATTTAAATGATTTGATTAAGAACAAACACCAATTTATAATAATTTTTAAAAAATAAACTCTACAATAGGTATATTTATTTTAGTATAGCAAAAACTATTTTTATTTCCCAAATAAAATCCTACTCAGAAGCTTATACATGAGGCGACAAAAGAAACTGAAGTTGATCGGGGAAGGCGGACTCTACACTCAGCCTCTCACTCTTTGACTTAAGAGAGAAAACTTACCATGATCGAGGAGCCCAAACAAGAGGAAATCTGAAGAATCCAGCAACAAGTAAACCAGGCAAGAAGTTTGTTAGTTAAAGAAGCTTAGCCAGCACCAACATGAGTGCTTACATCTCCTGTACTTTACTTTTACTGCTTCTCCATAACTGGAAGAACTATATCTAAGACCTCACACATGTCTAAACCACCTATCTTACCAATTCCCCAACCCCTCAATCATACCACTTCATCATAACAGCACAGTCATTAGCAGGTCCACCTGTCCCCTCTTCAAGCTAGAGCTATATCCTTGTTTGGAAAGCCTGAAAATAAGTGTTCTGTCATAAGCTAGTCACATATATGACTAGCTTTCTTTCCATTTTCAAATGAAAGGCTACTTTCATTTTCAAGGATTTGAAAGTCTAGAGGAAGGGCTCAAGATTTAAAACACAAATCTGAAAAGACCCAGTACTGCTACAGCCCACCACCCACTGACCCTCTTGTGCGGCTGGCAGCACCCCTCAGATCCAGCCTCTGCCTTAGCCTCTGGGCCTGGGTGGTCCTGTCTTGGCATCTTTGGTGGACCGCTCACTTACCTTGGACTTTGCATGCCAAGTGAAGTGCAGGAAATTTGTCTCGCTGGGTACTAACAGGTTAAAGGATAGAGCGTAGTGACTAATAAGGTCATTTCTCACATAGTAAAGTTCTGCATCAAGACCTAGGAAAAGAAAAAAAGAGAAAAAATTAAATGCCCCAAATACCCTCAAAAACATTAACCATCAATATTTCAAATACTGATCATAATAACAGATTAAAAGCACACCCCACCTGTGCTGCCTTATGAAGCAGAAGAAGACTGGATTTTATCGTTGCCAATAAAGATGAAGAAACTGAGGCTCGGAACAATTAAGGACAGGGGTGCTGGAGCCAGAACTCTGGTTCTGAGAACCACCAATGCAACACATTTCCTTTTGGACAAAGACCTCCTCAGATAAATGCCTACGGACAAAAGCCCCTTCACCCTGCAAAACTGATGAGGATTTAGGAAAAGAGACAGGCACCTGGGGGGAAACATGAGTGTGAGTCAAGGCCTCAAGATCCTAGCCAGAGATGATCTTGGCTTCTGTCAGTATGACCTGCTGGCCACTTGAACAGCATGTTACCAAGGTACACTCACCCCACTGCCACACAGACACACATCCTCTTCCAAATCTAAACTACAAAGCAGAGAACACTATACCTCTCATATTCTCAGGACAGTCCTCTACACAAAGCAGATGCTCAGTAAACTCTTGTCAGACAAGTTAGCACCACAGGTAAAAGGAGAAAATATCAAGATGCCTAAGAAATGCTAGAGATTTCAAATTTCACTCATTCCCACACCACTTTCTTGACCAAGGTCACATCCAACCTCCAACACATATAACATTACTCAATTTTGTGATAACCCCTTCATCCTACTTGTATTAAATATTATCTTTAAAATTAATTCAATTTTAAAATAAAAATTTAAAGGAAAAATTTAATTACCACCTTAAGTAGAAAACCAGCAATTACTGAGAAAAAAATACAAGGTAACACACACACACACAAAATCAATTAAAAGGGAAAAAGCCTACCTACTAAATGCTAGCTAATATTGTCTACACCAAGGCAGTGAGTCTGGGCGCAGCCCACTGTTTACAAAAAGGGAAGAGGAAGGTAACAGCAAGTGCTTGAGAGAAGTAAAAATATCAGAAGTTTTCTCCACAATATAATCCAGAAGAACTGAAAGAATAAAAGCAGGGGATAAGATCGCTCGACTGATTTACTGTTATTTATAGTTGTGGCTAGGTGTCCCTCCAGTAATGGATGACATATATTTCACACGTGTAAGGGAAAAGGTACAGGGGAGGCCAACTGAAATGTAAATTTCATATTTACTGAGCCTTTTACCTCAGATATTTCAGATGACACCATCCTTATGGCAGAAAGTGAAGATGAGCTAAAAAGCCTCTTGATGAGTGAAAGAGGAGAGTGAAAAAATTGGCTTAAAGCTCAACATTCAGAAAACTAAGATCATGGCATCTGGTGCCATCACTTCATGGGAAACAGATGGGGAGACAGTGGAAACAGTGTCAGACTTTATTTTGGGGGGTTCCAAAATCACTGCAGATGGTGACTGCAGCCATGAAATTAAAAGATGCTTACTCCTTGGAAGGAAAGTTATGACCAACCTAGGTGGCATATTAAAAAACAGAGACATTACTTTGCCAACAAAGGTCCGTCTACTCAAGGCTATGGTTTTTCCAGTGGTCATGTATGGATGTGAGAGTTGGACTGTGAAGAAAGCTGAGCGCCAAAAAATTGATGCTTTTGAACTATGGTATTGGAGAAGACTCTTGAGAGTCCCTGGGACTGCAAGGAGATCCAACCAGTCCATCCTAAAAGAGATCAGTCCTGGGTGTTCATTGGAAGGACTGATGCTGAAGCTGAAACTCCAATACTTTGGCCACCTCATGCCAATGAGAGTTGACTCATTTGAAAAGACCCTGATGCTGGGAGGGGTTGGGGGCAGGAGGAGAAGGGGACAACAGAGGATGAGACGGCTGGATGGCATCACCGACTCAATGGGCATGGGTTTGAGTAAACTCCAGGAGTTGGCGATGGACAGGGAGGCCTGACATGCTGCGATTCATGGGGTCGCAAAGAGTCGGACACAACTGAGTGACTGAACTGACTGATACCATGAGTTTAAAACACCTTGTGCTATGCAAAAAGGTCAAGGTGAGGCTCTCATGCCTCCTAAGATACCCACTCCAATATTCCTGCCTGGGAAACCCCATGGACAAAGAAGCCTGGCAGCTACAGTCCATGGGGTTGCAAAGAGTCTGACATAACTGAGCAACTAACACTTTCACTTTCCACAACGTAGGTTAAACATCTCTTGGACTGGCCACACAAACCATGAATCCAAAGAGAAAAAAAAAAATTGATGAAGTGGCTATCATTAAAATTAAAAACTTTGCTCCTCAAAAGATATTAAGAAAATGAAATTCAAGTCACAAACTGGGAGAAAATACTCACAACACATCTACCAAAAAGACTTATTTTTAGAATATGTCAAGATCTCTTATGAACCAAAAATTAAAAGACAACACAAATAAAAAGGGCAAAAGATGCGAACACACATTTTGTAAGAAATGATACGTAAATAGATGATATGCATATAAAAAGGTGCTAAACATTATTAGTTATCAGTGAAATACAAATTAAAACCACAATGAGATATCATTTCCACTCAGAAGAATGACTAAATGTTGGCAAGGATGTGGAGCAACCGCAACTCTCATACATTGCTAAGAATGGGACAATGTTCAACCACTTTGGAAAACTGACAGTTTTCTTATAAAGCAAAATGTACGTCTACTCAAGATTTCAGTCATTCCACTCCTAGATAATTAACCAAAAGAAATTAAAACATATGATTCCACAAAAAAAACTCCTATGTTAACACTGAGAGCACTCTTTTTCAGAACAGCAAAAACTGGAAACAACACAAATATCCCTTGGCAGACAGATGAATAACCAATTGTGTTATTCATTCACACCATGGAATACTACTCAGCAATGAAAATAAACTGTTGAGACTCTGTAACAAGGGGTGATTCTAACAGACCATGAATCAAAGAAGCTGTATATCCTATATTAATTATTTTTATAAAACATTCTGGGAACAGGCAAAACTAATTTGTGGTGATAAAGATCAGATCACTGTGGCTAAGGGAACTTCCTGGGGTGATGGAAATGTTCTGTATCTAACTGGGGTAGTGGTTACATAGGTGCATGTATTTTTCAAAACTCAACCAACTGTACATTTAAGATCTGCATGTTTCATTATATATAAAGTTCACCTAAACTTTTTTAAAGAGGGAGAAAAAAAGACTCAGCAATACTTTTTACCTCTCTTTTCTAATCTCAAAAAGTCTGCATACCATAGAAAGTTACTAGCACCAACATAAAGTTTTAGAAACAAATAATCATAAGTGATCAACAACTTGCAAATTTAAATTTCAAACACCATTCACAGGGAAATAAATCTGTCCCTAACAAATACCAGTTACAATGTAATTACTGGTAATAATAAGAATGATGTGTAAATATTTGCCTTTTCCAGACACAGTTTAAAAGGTTAAGAGCATCTAGTAAATTCAACTCCACACAAAGTTCCTTCCCAGTATCTTAGCTACCTCATTCACTGAGATACTGGAACCAGTTAATGAAACTTCTAAACACCCTTCTGCTGTGACTTATGCCAGACTCCCAATGTACGTGAGACTATCCCACTCTCAACGTGTTCTTCAATGTTCCTTTTATTCCCCAACTCCAACAACCTCCATCCATATCAAAGTAACCCATCTCTATGGACAATGGGAGTATACAAATTGCTTTACCTCCAAAATCTTGAACTGTAATGATCTCAATACTTTAGGAGCTCTTCAGTTCCTTCTCCTTATTGTTACAACAGCTGTTCTCTGGGCTCATAATACCTCCAGGGTCCATAATCCTCTTGTTTCTCCCACTTGATTATAGCAATCATCTCCTTGTTTTTTTCTTACTGACCTCAACCCCAATTACTGTAATTACTTTCTTACCAGTACCCTCAACTTTCTCCCACAACCCAGACATGCATACCCCACCCCGAAAACACCCAATCTTGAACTGTTGTGACTCCCCTGTTCCTTATCTTCTCTGGTGCTGTAACTGAACGCTGCATAATCCGGGAGGAAGGCACTCCCACAAATGAAGAGAGTCACTGTAAACCCATGCTTCTATGTTCAACAGATAAATATTTATAAGCTGTTGACAGTTTGGAGCCCTGTGATCCATATCTATAAACACTTAATGGACACCAAAATAAAAACTGAAAATTTTAAATTCACTACCCTAGATTTAGGTATTGAAACTGTAATACAGTAATACTGTAAAACTGCAACACAACTGCAAACAGAGTTGCTGTTTCCTGATTAGATTTTGAGAGAATTTGTTTTGAAACAGCCATTCTTTACTAAGATTCCTAGTCTGAAAGGATTTGAATTTCTTCAAAGAAGCCACTAAAATGAAGTTCAAATTTTCACCCATCAAATTAGTAAATCTACTTTGTTCTGTCATAAAACATATTCCTAAACATCAATTAGCATATCAGTGGTTAGGAAATAAAAATACCAATACAACATATGAATAGAAACTGTGTCAGTTAACATTTGAATCTTCCCAGACATGGGGAACTAGAATAGCAGGTGAAGAACTATAACTTTCCGTGGAAAAGGAAAAGACCCTCACTTGGTTCAGCTACTGCCAGGCAGGAGTCCCCCTCGGCCCTATGTTAAGAAAGCTAAAACAGCGAAAAAGGAAACTAAAAATAAGCACCTGCACAAAAGGTTCTCTCCTCAGAGGAGCACCACCAGTCTCTGTGTGGTTCCTAGACGCAGGAAGCTGCATGTTCTCTTATGCCCAAATCGATGGCAGCCCCACCAACTTAGAAAGCAGCTCTCATCTGCACTACCTTAAAATCATGCAAGCCAGTGATTTCCATCCTATTTTTTTTAACATCTTTAACTCTCTTCTGAAGCTGCGTCAGCCACCCTAAGTGGTTTGACCAAGCTGTTCAAGTTATCCCATAAGGTACCAATTATGCTTTTATTAGTACTTGGTTTGAAAATTGCAGTGTTCTTGAAT